GACTTGCCCCCACCCATCATCCATTCTCCACCTCCAATGGCTTCTTATGGCATTTAGGAAAAAAATAAAAGCAAACTCCCTGCTGTGGCCTAGGGGAGTAGGGGTGTGGGGTAGGGGGTGCTGTACAACCTGGCACCTGCCTATTTCCCATCTCATCCCAGACCTCCTGCTCCCAGGGGAGAACTGTTCCAGCCATGTGGCTGCCAACAGTTCCTACAACACAACCGGCCCCCACCTGCCTCCAGGCCTGGAGAGTCTGAGTACTGGAAGGTGTGTCCACAGCTCTTATTGTGGCTCAGTTCATCCTTCAGCTCTCAGAGAGGCCTTCCCTGGTCACACCATCTAAAGTAGTTCCTGTTTTCTTCCATCACGGATCCCCATGTCCCCTAACTCTGCAGCACAGCCTTCTTACTTTACTGCCTGGGCTGTCTCCCAGGCTAGACTGGGATCTCCCTGAGAGCAAGGCTATGGTGTCTTTCACCAGCGCAGCACTGGTGTAGTAGGTGCTCAATAAATCCATGACATATTGAACACATGACCAACACCTCCATGTACAGTTCCTGGAGGCTTTCAAGCCATGAAGCCGCCCAGATGACCTCTTCAGCCGCCATCCTCCACTCCCACTCAGGTTTTCCAGCCAGAATACTCCTGACTCCCTCTGCCTACTTCCTGTCACCTGGACTCTTCAGATGTCCAAGTCCCTGTATTTCTACTTCCAATCTGCCCTCTCCTACTGCCCTCACCTTCCTTGGACCCTTGGCAAGCATGGCTTTCCGCACCTTGCAGCCTTAGGCTTTCGCTGGAGTCACAAGCTTCTTGGGGCTCCTTGCTGCCCAGGGCAGGCAGCCTTGACCAACATTCCCAGCCGCTTAACAGCCCTTCTCCAGCTGCGGCTGTACCACCCCCTTGCTGTTCCTGGGAGGAGAGATGATGTTCCCACACTATCCCTCCAATGGTGCTGGAGGGGGCTGAGGGAGGGAACAGGGCCTCCACTGGCCTCTTTCCTGGGGGACACCTCCAGGCCCCCTGGGTAGGTGAGAGGAAGACCTTTTGGTGCTCAAATATCACAGCATGAAGCCTTCTCCCAGTTGCCATCTACCCCTACTGAGGGGAAGATCCAGGTTCCTATAAGGGCAGCCAGGAAGGCAAGGAGCCCTATGGAGGGCCAGAAGGATCTGCTCCGCTCAGGACAATATCCCTCTGTGCCCCCCATACTCAGAGTCAGAATCTAGTGCTAGACAGCCGGATATTGAGCAGGAAGGTTCCAGAGCTGCCCCACTGCCCTCATGCCTTCTGACCTGGGTTCCAGTTCCACAGCCCAGCTTCTCAGCAAAGAAACCCCTGGCAGACAGACACCACTGAACACTGACCTACTTTCACTCATCCTGCTCCAGGGTATCCCTATGAGGGGCCAGGAATCTGCATTCCCAGCAGAGCTGGCCCCCAAACTTCCCCACCCTCATCTACCCCCAGGCCCCACTTCATTTGAACCCCATCACCAGCCACCTGAGTCCTTCCAAGTGGTGAGTCCAGGTGGCCTATCACCCTGCTGGTCATCACTGCCCTCCTTAGCCTTTATGTGTACCCCACATCCTCCTTATCCATGGCTCTCATTCTCACTGATCCCCCGTGTCAAGGAGCTGCCCAAGGTTCTGCTTCGAGCTCACTATTCAGGGCTGACACTGCCTGCCGCCCCACTTCAGCTGTCTTTCAAATGACCTCCAGCTCCTCCCAGCTCCTGCAAGGAAGCTGGATGCACAGAAAGGAAAAGTTAGTGGGGAAGGCATACAGGGCAACACCCTCGGGCAAATGTTCAGCCTCTTTGTGTCTCTGATCCTTTTTATCTATAAAACAAAGAGGTTGAAATCGAGTGCTTTTTTTCTTTTTTAATTTTTATTGGAGTATAGTTGACTTACAATGTTGTGTTAGTTTCTGCTGTGTAGCAAAGTGAATTGGTTTTACATATATATATATATATATATATATATATATATATATATATATATATACCCACTCTTTTTAAAATTCTATTCCCATATAGGTCATTACAGAGTATTGAGTAGAGTTCTCTGTGTTATACAGTAGGTTCCTATTAGTTATCTAGAAATAGTTTTTTTAGTTAAAAAATTCCATGAATTTTTGGTTATCAAACCATCCTTCCTCCTCCTGTTGTCCTTATTTTGCTATTATTTGTACATTCACCCAGGCATGAAATTTCAGAGTAAAGATGTAAAGTTTCTTAAAATTTTGAAGCTATGAAGGAAAAAAATTAAACCTGTTTATTGGTATGGAAAAACAGTAGTAATGGTAGGATAAAATGGAAATATAGTCACACTTCATTTGGTTAGCTTTTTTTTTTTTAAACATATTTATAATCATTTATTAGTTTGACATAAAATTTGTCGACCCTGATGCAAGTTTTTTAACCAAATTATTTTGGCTAGTCAATTTAGCAATGCTGAGGCCTGGGCAAAACAGGAATAATTTGTGGATAAACATTTATTTTTCTTCAAATTTCTGGAGAATGAAACAAAAGAATTTTGGAATTGTTTCAAAATGTTGGGGTTTTTTCCACTTTGGCTTTTTCCACTTCTACCTTGAGGTCATTCATCCCTTTGGCTCTTGTTTAATTAGTCATTTCGTCTTGTCAATTGCTCCTTCAAAATCACTCTCTAGTTAGTTCAGTTCTCACTCCCACCAATGTGGAGTAGCATTACAGTCTACATGATCTTTTTTTTCTTTTGGTTGGGTCATTTCCCTGACCAGGGATTGAACCCGGCCACAGCAGTGGAAGTGCAGAATCCTAACCACTAGACCACCAGGGAATTCCTGATCCTTCTTTTATTTAGGAAAAAAAAAGTATCAAACAGGTTCCCATGGAACACTGGTGTCCCTGGGTATACAGAGGCAGTAGGGAGCCTTTTCTCCGTCTTCAGGGGGGCAATTATCTCAGTGAATAGAACATTTTCAAGTTAAAATTTTTCTTCCCTTGTTTAAAAGTCACTACTACCATCACCACCACCACAACAGAACAACTATGTTTGCTATCACTTGTACTAGAAAAGACTAGCAGAAAGCAAAAAAAATTAAATCAGATAGGTATCTGACTTTAACAGAAAAGCTCAGAAATGGCCTTCAGGTGGATGTGCAATGCTGATCCAGGGGAGCAAACCCTTCTTTGGGGAACTCAGCTCCCAAATGATGTTGAAGCGCCCTCATAAATGTGCAGTGACCCCTGGCCAGGCCAATCAGAATACTCCTGACCATTGTGACTGATTCAGGGATGAGAATGTGACCCCAGATTTTGGGCCTGCCTTTGGAGAGAGAGGTCGGGTCTTGCCTTTGGGGTGTTGGGGCTGTTGGGTGGCACAGAGGAAGCTTACTGCCAGGGGACAGTGAAGCCATTAAGGACAGAGAGGGGGCTCTGATGACATCTGAGCTGAACTTGAAGCTGGTACTACCCTGGACTCCTCTTAGAGCAACGAAGCCATTCCCTTTCCGTCATGAGCTGGCAGTAGGACTGTGGTCAGATTTTCCTCGGGCGTGACTGTTCCCTAGAATATATGATAGAAATTAATACATCAGCATTTCTCTGTGCTCCTCAGAGAGACTTGTGATTTTCAGCAGCTCCACCTTCTGCTTCAAATCACTTTCCACATGTCTATCCCACCAGGATTCCTTGATTCTGGGACTCTGGCTTGGTCAAGCATGCCCTCAGGGTTCAGTTCAGTAGTCCCTGGCCCCTACTGTGGGCCACTGGTGGGGAGGACCCCTTTCCCCATCCCTGGACTTCTTGGCCTCCAAGTCCTCCTGGCCCTCAAAGATCATCCAGTCCTGGAGCTCTTTGCCATTTACTGTCCCCCCTTCTCTCTGACAATTATTTGGGGGTAATCCCCAAACCCTGGCGGTTTCTGGCAAGTGCAAGCACAGGAGCTCCTTCAAGGTTCAAGCCCTGTAGGATGGCGCGTGTGGTGGTGTGTCGGGGGGTGGGGGGTCGAGGGCCGTAGCGGGGAGGGAGGGGTCGTGTTGGGAGGCTCTGGGTAAGCTGGTGCTGAGGAGGGTGTATAGTACTGAGGCCAAGACCCCTCCCCCAATTCTCTCGGCTCCTCGCACAGTTTTGCGATCACACAGAGCCTCCAAACCCAAGACCACCTTCCCAACCATTTGAGGGAGGCTGCCTGTGAAGTCTCCACCCTACCCCTCAGGCCAGCTCCCAGATCTTCCCAGTGGGTCACTTCCTTCGTCCGGAGGCCCCTGCATTGAGGGTGGGATAGGAAGCAGGGTCTCTGTGGACGCCGGCGGTGCCCCTCCTTAGTCGGTCCTTTTTCCAAAACGACAGAAGCCCCTGCACGGGGTGGGTCCTTGAGAGCTCCGGGGGTTCCGGCCGACCTCTCCCTTAGACCGTGCAGTTCCAAGGCCCGCCTGACCTAGGGAGCGCCAGGAGGAGTGCTCGGATCTAACCCAGCGAGGGCAGTGACTCTGCCACCCGAGCCAACTACTGTCCCTTCACGCCTTGCTCATCCCCCAACTGTAAAGCGGGACCGAGTGGCCACCTGACGGAGCTTTGGCCGGGATTAAACCAAGCTACCAGCCTGTGAAGCAGTGGTTCCTAAGGCAGCCTGGCGCAGGCGGGGTGCCCCGCAGGCCAAGCGCTGGGACTGCGGATGCGGCTTCTCTGGGTGAGGGTGGGACAGCTTATCTCTGGGGCTCCGCGAGACCCCTGTGCCCACAGCCAGCTTCCTCGAGCCCCTCCTTGGGATCTGGGACTCCCAGAGAGTGCCCACCACAAGCCACGGTGGTCTCCTCATATGAACTGTATTCTCCGCGGTCGCTCAGGGGTCTGGGGAGGGGAGTGGAACTCCCAAGGATTCCTCCTGAAGCAGCCCCAGCAAAGAGGCGTCCCGGGGAAAATCTGCGGGGAGGTCCCCAGTCCCAGGGGGAAGGCCACCTCCTGAACCCCCAGGGACACTTTGGGAATACAACAGGCAACTACTGGAGGCCCTGCTTGTTCAGTGATAAGTTTATTGGTCCTCAGTATTACATCTCAGTTAACAAGATAAATTCACATACACAACTGCAGGTAAAAAACATGAAAATAATATAAAAATAAATTGAAGGCTACTTTTATATATTTACTGAATTAAGTAGTGTAATAAATACTATAATAAGCAAAAAGCTTCAATCACACAATTGTTTCACTGAAGTTACAGTAGTGTTTGTAAATATGAGTTTTAAAATTTAAGTTATGAATATTAAAGCACTGAAAAACTAGTATAAAAGTGAATTTTGGCACGTAAGTGAGCTCTTCTGTCATTAGTATTTGACAACCTGGAACAGTGAGGAAGCTATTTCTCACCTACTTTTTGAGGTACAACTATCCATCTAGGTCAGCAACATGGCTGGAATACTTAATAGCTTACAATCTTTGAGTTAACTTTTCCCTTTTGACAAGCCCAAAGAGCAAATCCAGAGCTTATTACTGTGCAAAAAATTTCTGAAATCCTAATAGAATTTAGGAGGGTACTTTTTTTTTGAGACCCATAGGGCCTGGTGTCCAGGCCTCAGGTCACAGCCCCCAGGACTCTGTGGGGCCAACTCCACTCCTTGCCAGTGACCCCTTCCTAGGGTGATCCCTTTTCTCCAATTTCTGCCTCCTTCCAATCAAAAACAGAAAAATCCCATATCAAAATGTAAAATAACCTATAACTTCAGCGACTTCAACACTATCACACTCACTCGGGGTGATATAAAACTGAAGCTGCTAATAGAAGAGTGGGCAGAAAGCATGTAAGACCCTGGAGGACTTCTGCCTATCCCTAGGAACCTGATGTCTTTGGCTGGATCTCTGGTATCCACTTCTAAGGTCAAAATTTCAAACACAGTGTCATGGCCCTTCCTCTAGAGACAGTCTAAGACCCCACACCTCCACCTGGAGTGTCCAGAGGAATCAAGTGGATATTAATCTTCACATCCAAGACCCAGAGGCCCCAAAGGTTACAGAAGGGGCAGTGTGAGGAGGAAGCATCCTCCCGGCCTCAGTCCTCAAAGAGCTCACACAGCGCACCGCTAGTGTGCCTCTTCACCAGGGGCACTGCAAGTACGCCCCAAGGAATGCCCTTTCACCAGTGTGCCCTTCACACTCCCAAGCAGGCTGAGTGTCTATGGAAGCCTCAGCCAGTTTTGCCTTTTTGGCTTTGAAACTTAACATTTTGACTTTTTTCAATCACAGTTTCATATTCAAGTTGAGGTAATCACAGTTTCCCCTCTAACAGGAGAGGAATTGGGACAGTGGGGCAAGTTGGTGAGAGAGCATTTCTATGGACAATGGTCAGAAACCAAGACCATCAGGAGGTATAGCCCCATGCAGTGTTTAAGACCCACTTTTATGGGTGGGCTCCGACCCCTCTTTAAAAACTCTTTTGTGCAGCAGCCAGGAAATGGCTCAAGCTCCTAGAAAGAGAGCTTTCATTTAAATGTTCACAGCAACCCACCTGGAGGAGATGGCCTGTCATCTCCCCCCCGCCCCGCCCCCCGCCCCCTCCCACCCCTGGCTCCCTTTTCTAAGGCTGCTTGAGTTTTTAAAAAGAGCTTGGTAGAGCTAAAGGAAGCTACAGTAACTCATTATTATTTCATCAATTGCACTTAAGATCTGTTATTGATTCTGAAGCAGAGGCAGGCCCGTTGTGGACCCAGCCTCTGGCCAGCTAGAAGTAAGGGGCTCCCAGATGGGGCTCCACACCTGGGCCCTTGTCACCAGCAGCTTTGGGAGCTGAGACTGGAGCACATGGGCCTTTTCAGAAGCCTTTCTTCAAGCAAGAGTTCTTATTAAATGGTATTTGGAGTATTGTTCATTTGGCTTCAAATGAAAAATTTTTTTCTAATATAAGTACATGTTACTAACAAGCCCTTAACAACTGCTTTACTACTTGTATGCAGGACTCTGTGTGACAGACTACATGTGCTCCATCGGTTTTCTGTCTCTCCTCTGTGCCAGGATCCTTTCTCAAAAACCCCTCTACGTTACTAGAAACTTTGCTGGTTTTGCCTATGTGCTCCTTCCTAAGGCATGCAAAAAAATACATGAAATTCAGAAAGCATTTACAATCTAGGCAGCTGAGGCGCTGAAGTCCTAACAGACATCACCTAAGTATCTGTGCCTGCGACCTTCCTCTTCCCCACACTAATTCTGGAGGTCAGGCATGGGATACACTTGAAATTCCCCTCTGCTTTTTAATCCAGCTGAAAACAAAGCTACTAGAAGGAATTCTAACTTGGATTTGGAATTCTCCGAAATTCCTGGTCCCCTAGAGCCAAACAAATACAAGACTAGCAACGATGCTTGGAGACATGAGATTCCTGAAGGTTGGGCTGAAAACCAGGCCTTCCCTGGCAAGACTGAGGGGAGGTATGGGTGCTGAGACTGAACCCCCTTCAAGTGAAGATGCCCCATAAGCGACCAGAACCCTGGGCGTAAGACTATGCAGTTGCAGGACACTGACCTTAACAGTGAGGCAAAGCGTCACCAGGGAGGCCTGAGCAGCAGTTTTTCTCGTCTCCGAATGAGGTAAACCAGAGTGATGACATGAGGAGGCTCAAACCAGTCCCAAGGGGGGCTGCTTGTGTCAATTCAAAAGCCACATACTTCTGGAAAGCAACAAGTCTTTCCCCTCTGTTTAGTCCGTAAGGGAAATTCCCTCATTTTAGAATAAGCTGCTAATCTCCGCCCAAGCTGTTGGCTCTGTGGGTTGGGATTGGCCAGGGCTTGTGCTGTTCCCTCTAGGACTGGGCATAGGGTCAGCAGGGCCCAAGCCTTCAGTGGAAGGGGCCTAAACAGGGAGGCAGGCACTCCACTGGGGTGAAAGGCTCTCCTGGGGTGGTGTCTGAGGCCCAAGGCCTGTGGTGGCCTGGGCCCCCAGGCATGGCCACAGTTTGGCAGCCAGGATTCTTTATGTCCCAGCAGCCACTCTGTGCAATCCAAATGCTCCTCCCACCCTCACACACTGCTGCAACAGCCCAAAGAAAATACTGTTATCAGAGACCCAGAGGTCCTGGACTGCCGGCTGCACACAAAGGGCAGCCCCTGTCTGCTCATCCTCCATAAGGACCCCCCTCCCCTGCCAAATCAGTGGTGCAGGTGATGCTCTTCAGCGCTGTATAGAGAATAAAGACAACATGCACTCAAGCCAGCACACAAAGGCCAAGGAGAACAAAGATAGCCCCTCTAGGGAGGGGCCTCTGGAAAAGCTGAGGTTAAGACACCCCGTTTTAAAACGTCCATCTCCAGGGTCTTCTTCCTCTAGGGCTTCTGCTCAAAGAGGTCATGATACTCCTGCTGCTCCAGCTCGCGGTTATACTTCTCGATTTCCCGGTTGGCTTCTTCCACGTAGTCATTCATGAACTGGTCCATGACTGGCACCTCATTAAGGAAGAAGGCCCTGAGCCTTGGGGCCAAGGGAGCTGCCCAGGCCAGAGGAATCTGTGGACAGGTGAAGTAGGGGACACTGAGGTAGTGAGTGCTCAGCCTGCACAGAAGGTACCTGACTGGCTTTTTTTAATATACTGGCAGCACCACAGCTGCAAAGAATGTGACAGGGGTTGACACAGGGCCCTTCATGAGCTCTTAGAACTGAGCCCTTCAGCTTTCACTAGCCCAGAGCAGCACCCCATCCACCTTTTCACAAATTAACTACTGTAATCAGACCCAGTCTCCAACTTGTAAATCATGACTCCCTGATGACCACAGGATGTCACCACAGCTGCATTTAAACTACAACCCCCAGAGTAACCTCAGCCATCACTGAATGAAGAACAAATGTAATTTTAATGACTCTAAGAGGACAAAATGAAAAGTCAGCCTCTGTGGCTTGCTGTGTATTCCCAAACCCAGCCGGCACCAGGGGCTAGGCTATGATGGCTCTAGCAGATACTCTCTTTACAGCCAGGTTTTCACACCCCCCCAGCCTCTCTGCCCCAGATTCCAAGGATACGTGGGTGAAAATCAGTCTTGTCACCAAAGAAGTTGACAAACTGGGTGCCATTATAAAAGTAACCTGCAGGTAGGGGGTCCAGGTGGCGTTTCACCTGTAGGAGAAGAGTCCTGTTAGAATTATCTGACCATTTTCTATCATTCACTCATTCATTAAAAACAAAAACAGGGACTTCCCTGGTGGTCCAGTGGTTAAGACTCTGCACTTCCACTGCAGGGGGCGTGGGTTTGATCCCTGGTGGGGGAACTAAGATCCTGCATGCTGTGTGGTGCGGCCAAAAAAAAAACAACACCCCAAAACAAACAAGCCTATTACCCTAGCAAAATAGCCCACTTTGCCCTGTGGAAGGCTAGGTGTGCCAGGGAATTAACACCATCCTCACAACAGCCATCAAACAATGACTGACAGAGGTTCTCCCACCTCTCAGGGAGGAACTCTGGGATTATTAATGGGACCAAGCCCCAGGTGCCAACAGTGGAACTGGTTTGACAATACACGATTCCCTTCTCTTACTTTCCCATTTTCCTAATAGTGTTTTCTAGAACCACTTCCAAAATAAACTACCTGCGCTCAAATCCTTATTTAAGGTGTGCTTCTGGGGAAACACACACTGCCTGCCTTCTGAGGTGCCCATGGTGTCCTCAGCAGGAACACCCAGAGATGCCTAGGCCCTGGAGTCGGAATAAACGGGCCCTCCTCAAATCTACAGCAGGGGCTTCTGGAAGCCCAGAGTCCTGCCCCACCTGCTCATTACTGGGACTTGTGATGCAGCTCATGCTGAGACCTGGACTCTCTGTCCCTTTTAGCCTTTTTCCCCAAACTCATCAGGAAAAGGCCTCAATGGGTATGGGAACTGGGGTAGAGCCTGGGAGTCAGCCTGGAGTCTGAAGGCTCCTCAAAGGGCCTCTCGTCCTGGCCTCAGGATTTCACAACCTGCCCATGAGCAGCTTCAGGATCTAGAGTTTTTACCTGGGACCTCGCTGGTTTCTCTGTGGTTCATCTAGGACAGAGGAATGGGAGGAGGAAAGGACTTCTGCAGCTGCTTGAACACGGTGACAAAACAGACCTCCATGTCACCTGTTTCTCCCACAGGCACTAGTTCTCCTCAATTTCGTAACCACATCACACCAGAGGCCACCCCGTCCTTCTCACTGAGGCTGCAAGGCCAGGTGAGCTGAGGTTTCTCTTTACCCAGCTTCCCTCTGTGGCCTGAGAGAAGCAGGACCTCCAGCATGCCCTACAAACAGCCACCTCACTCAGGAATCCTAAAAGATAAGAGCTGCACAAGAACATCCTTGGGACACTGAGGGGACTTAGGCCCCCAGGGCAGGGTACTCACGTGGATGTTCCTGATCTCCTGCTGGGTCAGCATCCCCCTGGTCTTCAGGGCTTTCCTCTGAGGCTTCTGTGCAGAGATGTAAGGAGGTGTCAGTTTCCAACAGAGCTGATGGGTACATGGGAGGGTGAGGGCTCAGGGCTCTGGGGGCCAGTTACATGACTGAGATGCCAGAAAGGGAAGCACAAGCATCATCATGGACTGGATACAATATCCTGCCTGTCTGTCCCTTGAGAAGACCACTTTCCCATCACAGAGTCCTGCGGGCCAGGGGGGAACAAACGGCAGAAGAGAGACTGATGCATTTGCAAATAGGCATGTTTCTGCCTCTTTGCAGATTCTCAATCCTAGGCCCCACCAGTGACAGACATGCAGACAAAAGAACAACTGGAGGTCTCACAGTCAAATACCATTTAAGAGTTTATCCAGTGAGTCTGAGAAAGACCCTGTCTGCAAGCAGCCATTCCTTAGTATAAAAGACAGGTCCCAACTGAGCATGTACAGAAGACCCAGGCCCCAGCCAACTCTATTTCCAGAGCTCTAGAATAAGCTTAAGCTCAGACTGTGCTAAGAGGCTTAGAACCCAAAGCTAGCAGCATATGAGAGGATTTTAACTCCAGTCCGGATTTTTTTTCTTTGTAGTATTGGACTAAAGATGTTTGTGTGGATCTATAGGCAAGCCTCCTCTTCCCCTGTACCTCTCTCCAGGGCCTCCGGGCTCACTGCTGTCTATGCTTGGAGTCTTGGTTTGCAAAGGACTCTAAGGATATCTTTGTTGTTTTTCCTTTCTAGAGAGAGGACCAAAGTACAGGAGATGCTGGGCTCAGAAGACAGGAGAGCCTATGAATTAGGTTCAGCTAAGAAGACATTTTTGAGTTTAGAACACTAAGCTGATCCAGGGTCCACATGAAACAACTAAGATTCACCTAGGTCCTGGTTAAGCCATCTGATAATAACTCCAGCCTGCCTTGGGAAGCAGGACTGGAAATGGCTTTCAGCGCCTGGGCTCGCAGGGTAGGCAGCAAAACAAGTCTGCCTGGAGTTTGCCCCAGGGGCTTCCTCCCACTCTCAGAGTCCCTGAAAACGCTGGCTGAGCCTGTGAGGGGTGAACCAGTGGGGAGAAAGCAGGGAGAAGGTGGAGGGGCTTCTGCCTCAGGTCCATCAACAACTCTGAAGTGTCTGGTCATATCAGTGCCAGGTCTGTCTGGGCTTTAGAAACCACCTGCTTAGCTGACTGCCGCAGCCAGTCCTTGACACTTTCTTCCTTCAGGGAGCAGCCTATGAACACGAGGTAGCATTCCTGCTGCCCGCTGCTGCCTTGAGGTGTGCTTCTGGAGTCAGGCGGTGGCGTGGGTCCCTCCAAAACTGGCACGATGCTCAAGGAATTGGCCAGAGTGTTGTGGCAGACCTCCATGGTCCTCTCAGAGTCTGCAAGGAGAACACTTTAGTCCCTGAGACCCTGCCCCAAAAGGATAAGGCTACACTAAGACTGGATTAGTGCAGCTGTGGGGGACAGATTCACAAGACATGCAGGAGGGAGAACTGACATGACTGGCAGCAAATTAGAAAGGATGAAGTAAGAGAGGGAGGAACAATGTAAGTTTCTAGCTAAGCTGATTGGGTGATCAGGTGGACACCATTAACCCAGAAGGGGACTGACTACAAGAGGAAGAAAAGGTTTGCAAGTGGGAGAAGAAGAGTTTGACTCTGCATCTGTGGCATTTGAAAGACTGTAGGACCCTGAGTGGGAGACATCCACACAGTCATTAGAAGAAGAGAATGGCTGGGGTCACCCCTATGGAAGAGGTAGTTGAGGAGAAGCAAGGAAAGCTCCCTTGGTAGAGGTGGAGGGGGTGGGTCTCAGCTGAGGTCTGAGAGTCCATGGGAGGAGGGCAAGCTCAACAGTACAAGTGCTGCAGGAGGGACACATGCATGGGAACAGGAAAGATGTAATCGGGTTTATAAGCTGAGGCACTGGGGGCTAAAATATACTGGAGACACAAGGGTAAGGTTCCCCAAAAAGGCATGATGAGAAAGAGATCTAAAACAAAGAAAGGTTTACCTTTAACAAGAAAAGGGTCAAGAGTCAGTCTAAATAAAAAAGAAAAGGAGGTGATGATAGGGGAGAGGGACGAGCAGGTGGGGGTCTGTCAGAGCCTGAGGGAAGCGGGCTTGAGTAAGGGGCTTGTAGAGTGGGGCCAAAGTTTCAGATTCAATAACATAAATTAAGCCAAAGGTTAAGGACCTTGAGAGATTCTTTTATAGAGGCTCTGCCACCTAATTCTCCTATCTGAACCCAGATGATTCCATGCTTACAACTCTCAGTGGCTCCCTGCTGCAGACACCCCCGGTTACCTGCCCAGCATCCCCCTCTTCCTCCAATACCAATTCCCCATGGGCAATGGCAACTCGATCCTGGCCAATGAGAGAAGTCTGCTGAGGAACTGATAAAGACACCCACAGGAAGAGCCAGCTTCTTCCATCAGCTAGCTGTTGTGTCTGAATGTGACACCTAGACCTGCAGCACTACCTGGCAACCATGAGGGGTGGGAACCTGAGGAAAAGCTGACACCAAGAATGTAAGAACACAAAAGCCATATATTACCTGGGTCTTCACTGGCTTTGCTATGCTGCCAGACCTCTTGACTTCTTGCTATGTAGCTAACACCTGCTAGTTGAGCTGGGGTTTTCTGTTATAACTGCCAAAGATGCCCTAACAGACACACTCTCTCACTTCCTCCCTTGGGACCCAGACACAGTAAACCCTTTTTGGTTCCTGAAACACCTGTTTTTGCCTCACATCCACAGCACATGCTCTGCCTTTTCCCTGGAACATTCTGCTCTTTCTCAATGTTGAGTTAACTGGCTCCTTGTTTTCACACCTTCCCTGAACCCCAGCCCAGGACTGACATAATTCAGGTTGCAAGGGCTGCAGGGGTCAAAGGCTGATAAACAGGTTTACTGAACGGAGGGGAGGAGAAGGCAAGTGGAAGGCTTGAAGACTTTGGCAGAAACGGATCCAGAGCTGGAAGGCTCAGCATTGGGGTAGCTCCTGGTGACAGGTCTAGGAGGAGGCCATGGATGGCTCAAGAAGGGTGGAGTGTGAGTCTCTAGAACAAGGAAGTCAAGGAGCTGTGAGGAGAGGCCCTGGGCAGGTTCGTCCAGGGGCAGGAAAACAGATCCTCCACTGCAGAGCAGAAGGACCTGGAGAAAGATTGGGACCTTGACTGAAAGGGATGACTGGAGGAGCCTATGGTGTAAGATCCAGAGGGGAGGGTTTTTTGAGAGAGTCTAAGAGGCATCGGTGGTCTGTAAAGCACCAGCAGAGTCTATGAACTCACATCATGAGATGTGAGCACTCCACAGAGTAGCGCTCCCAAATCCAAGCGCCCAGTTACCTGAAAACTTCACTTTGCCCAGGATGTGGTAGATGTTTCCAGAGAAGGGACTTGGCTTGATAGAGGACTGAATTGCTGGTGGAGGAAGATAGGGTTGTTACTCACCTGGGGGCAGAGGCCAAGTCCAGGGTGGCACAGCTGGGAGGGTTAGGGACTGGAAAGGCACCTCCTCTAGGGTCCAGGTTTCACAGGTACCCCCACCAGATCTTCCCCCAGTGGCTCTGCCACTATTCCCAGGGGTAAGGGACTCCTGGGTCCTCAAATTCTTCTGCCTGCTTTCAGACCCAAATGGTGAGAAGAGACAGCACACACAGAATACTAAAATGGTGCCGGGAAGCGGGGACAACTCTGGGGCATTCTTTTACCAGTGTCTGGGACATGTCCCGGTCAAGGCTTACCTTTACACTTGGCCACAAAGCGAGTCTTCTCCAAGGGACGACCAAACCATACACAAATCTGAACCATTAATGGAAAGACCGATCCAACATCAAATTTACCTTCATACCTTAAAAGGTTTAAAAAATTATAAATACAAGTAATTGGGGCTTTGACTGCTATTACATACTACATTGGAAAGAACTACATATCACTTATCATATTTGAATTCTCCCTTAATTGTACGTCATTTTGTGTACAAAGCACTTATTTGAAAGCATTTATGTCTCTTTCATCTTGAGACTGAGAAGCATGTTTGCCCCCTTAGAGCAGGAAGGTCTTACCTTCTTTGGACTAGCAATCCCTTAAAGTCAAAGACCCCCTCTACTTTTGAAGCTTGCCAGTATCCCAACTGGGATTAGGGGTCCCTCCTGGTACCTTTGGAGCTCTTCCTCAGGATCCCCGCCCACTCTCTTCAGGGCTCCCACTATGCCCCACCCTCACTGAGGGCAGTTTAACAGACTGTACATTTGGATGTGCAGTCTCTCCAGAAGGAACTAAAGGGCTGGGGCATCTCTGATCTATTTTCTCAGTTTTGAGTTCAGCAGACATACTGACTGCCACAGACTCATTAAGAACGCAGCATTTAAAAAATTTAACTTTTTATTATGGAAAATTTCAGAGATACGCAAAGATAGAAGGGTAGTGTAATGAATTCCTACCACCCAGCTTCCAAAGTTATGAAACTGTCATTCCTTCTTTTGAATGATTTCATTGAGATGAATCCCTTGATTGGAATCAGTCCAGGAGAGGGCATAACATCTCATGGGTAATTTATACCACCCCCAGCAGCAGATGAGTGTACTAGTTTCACAACAATTCCTCCAGCAATGAATTTTATAGATATTTTTGCCTAAATGTAACAGGTGTCAATCAAAGCAACAGTAAGACACCATTTTGCATTTGAGTACTACGTACATGGAATTCTGTTACCACAGTTGCCATTTATACTTGGTCTTAAGTGGACTGTTCACATCTATATAATATGGGTTACTTTTCTTAAATATCTAAACAAGCTTTCCAAATACTATATTAACCCTTCGTCACATTTGATGCAAACACTTCCCTCCAGTCTACTGTATTTTTGTATTAGTTTGCTTTGCTTGAAAACTGCACTGCAGTTTTGAATTTTACATTGTTCAAAGTATCTTACTCTTTAAAGCAACTTCTTTAAAGTAAGGTGGTGGCATAACATTTTTGCAAGACTGACATGTTCTTTTTGTTCTCTCCCCATCCAAACATGAGATTTGGAGACCACGGGCTTCTCAGGCTTCTGTGTTCAGAGGCTGTATCCTTAGGGGAATTTGGAGGGGCCAGGGGAATAGTACAAGGTTTCCTTACAGACTAGGAACAAGCCCTTCTACCAGGGGAGGTGGGGGTGGGGTCGATGACAACAGAGGGCTGTGGGAGGGGAATGGCTAAGAATCTGCACAGCACAAAGCTGAGCACATCCTGCAGCTAAGGCCTGTTCACTCTGAGGTGGTGGCCCTCACCCAAGGAGAGAGGGGAGTAATGTACAGCGATGAGCAGGAATGTGATGACTGCCATCTTGTTAAAAGAGTAAATCATCTGATTCCTAGGAATGAACTTGGAAGGGAGGGCCTGAAGGGTGATTCTGAGGCCCCTCCATCTCTGATCCTCTACAAGGACTGATCTTCCTGATAAAGGAAGATTTCAGACTCTAGATTCACAGAGCCTTCTAATGAACTCCCTCATACCTGTCTCTGTCCTAGATCAGTCTGCCTCCAGAAAAGTCTGTGCCCTGAGCTAGGTTAATGTATGCCATGCCCACAATGAGTTGGTATGGACTGGAGAATAGGTGCTTCCCTAGGCACCAGGTGGAGACGACAAAAGTCTCAGGACCAGGCCCAGAGGTGTGGGCAGCAAAAAGGTCAGTAGCTGCAGCCACTGGAGAGAAGAGTTTCACCCCAGAAGCTCCATCTTTTTCTTTTTAGCTAAGATATTATTGTCTTGTTCAGGCATAAGGAATGATCCACGTACTCACTGTTTAAGTATGATGTGACTCAAATCAGAGGTTCCTTCTAAAAATAAGCCTGAAAACCTTCAATTTTACATATTGACCTTTTTTTTTTTTAAACAGGATAGTACAATCAGTTTTTGCTGGTACAAAATACTGGTGATGTAAGGGGTGGTTGGAGGACTCACAGAGGTGGCTGAGGGAAGTGAGTGAGGATAATAAAGATGATCCAAATCAATATGAGGGATCAATTTTGGCTAAGCTTTAACAACTGTCTTCCCCTGAACCTTCAACAGAGCAAAACTAGTTATCCATTCCATACAGGGACAAGTGCAGCATGGTGGTTAAGAGTACAGGCTCTGCTGTACAGCAGAAATTAACACAACTTTGTAAATCTATTATACTTCAAAAAAAAAAAAATACAGGCTCTGAAGCTACACAACCTGGGTTTGAAACCCAACTCTTTCATTTACTAGCTGTGGGACTTTGGAAAAGACATTTAAGTCCTTGCTGCCTCAGTTACCTTATCTCTAGAATGAAGAAAAAAATGGAATCCACCTTGCAGGCTTGGTTTGAGGATGAATGAGATAACATAGGTTGAACTCTTAAGAGTGGCACTGTGAACAGAACTTTCTGTGATGATGGAAATGTTCTGGATCTGAACTGTCCAAGACAGTAGCTGCTAGTCACAGGTAGCTGGTTAAGCACTTGAAATGTGGCTTGTGTGACTAAAAGGCTAAATTTTAAATTTTACTTTATTAATGTACATTTACATTTTATTAACTAGCCACATGTGGCTAGTGGCTGCCATACTGGAGAGCGAAGTCTTAGAACAACGTGTAGCACACAGTAAGTGCTCAAGTGATGCTGGAAATATGATTATAGTGCACTTCACACTCTCTTTTCTCTTCCTCTCCTCTCTGGAGGACAGGTTCAGGCTAGGAGGCCACCTGCAGAGCACAGAACATGCCCTGGGCCACAATAGCAGGGAACCTACCTGTCAGATGGGAACCCTAGAGGACTGACTATTCTCAGGAGAGACTCTCTCACCCGGGAGGGTCATAACTCCTTGGTTCCATGTCGGCCACCTCACTCTCACTAGAGGCTAGAGGAAACAAAGGATACCATTGTGCTTAAGGCCTATAAGATGACTCCTTAAGTCTCAACATCCAGCAAGGGTCTCAATTTGGACCCCAAGATGTGGATCACTGGGCTTCCAGCAAGGCCAGTGGTTACTGGGACATGGCAGGCTGTTGTAGCTGCCATTGTCACCCTCCTAGAGCACACCTGGTATTTTCACTTTCTCTTTTTCTTTCCTGTAAATAAATAAATCACTGAGTTTATAAAGAAATCTTAGCTACTTTTCAATGATGATACTTGCCAGCCAGGGTACATTAGATATCGAGATCGTAGCATCTGAGGACTCGAAAAACTATTTTCTGAGAGAATCAGTTCAATGTCTTCATTCCTTTGAAAACATACAGAAAACCCAGGTTAATTAGAACTATTAACCTTAACCTGTACATTCTGCTTACTCTCTACACCGCCATACACACATACAAGTACATGCATATATTTTTTTTCTGTTATTTCACCCCTAAATACTTTAGTATGCATCTCTAAGAACAAGCACATTCTCTTGAAGAACCACAACAGTATAATCACACTGAGGGAATTTAATACTGAGGACAAGCAGCATTGGTATCACATGGGAGCTTCGTGGAAATGCAGGATCTCCAGCCTACTCCAGACCTACTGAATCAGAACCCTCATTTTAATAAGATCCCCAAGAGGTTAATATGCACATTAAAGTTGGAGAAGTATTGATATAATATACATCCATTTTCAAATTTCCCCTTTTTGGGGGGATAGGGCACTCAGGATCCAATCAAGGATTGCTCATTAATTTATAATCTTTATTTTCCTTCAGTCTGGAACAATTCCTCCAACTATTTTTGTTTGTTACTCATTTTTTTTTTTTTTTTCCCCGGTACGCGGGCCTCTCACTGCCGTGGCCTCTCCCGCCATGGAGCACAGGTTCCGGACGCGCAGGCCCAGCGGCCATGGCCCATGGGCCCAGCCGCTCCGCGGCACGCGGGATCCTCCCTGACCGGGGCACGAACCCGTGTCCCCTGCATTGGCAGGCGGACTCCCAACCACTGCGCCACCAGGGAAGCTCGGAGTTGACATTTTTGAAGAGTACATGCCAGCTGTCTTGTGCCCCACAACCTGGATTTGTCTGGTTGCTCCTCATGATTAGATTCAGCTAAGCATTTCTGGCAAGATTAATGGCCAAGTGATGTTGTGTCCTTCCCACAGTGTCACGAAGGAGGCACATGATGTCAGTTTATCCCATTAGTGGTCTTGGTAAGTTTAATCATTTGGTCAATGTCATGTCTTCTAGATTAAACCTCTCCATTGTGAAGGTACTTTTCCCTCTTTGTAAGTAGTAAGCAGTCTGTGGAGTGACAGATACTTTTTATTTATTCATTTATTTAATTTATTTATTTATGGTTGCACTGCATCTTCGTTGCTGTGCACAGGCTTTCTCTAGTTGCGGAACAGCGGGGGCTACTCTTCGTTGCAGTGCGCGGGCTTCTCAGTACAGTGGCTTCTCTTGTTGCGGAGCATAGGCTCTAGGTGTGCAGACTTCAGTAGTTGTGGCATATGGGCTCAGTAGCTGTGGCTCGTAGGCTCTAGAGAGCAGGCTCAGTAGTTGTGGTGCATGGGCTTAGTTGCTCTGTGGCATGTGGGATCTTCCCAGACCAGGGATTGAACCCGTGTCCCCTGCATTGACAGGCAGATTCTTAACCACTGCACCACCAGGGAAGTCCCGTGACAGATACTTTGAGACAAGTGAATATCCCTTTCCTCAACAATCTGTCATCCACTGCTTTTAGCATCCATTGATAATTCTTGCCTAAATCAAGTATTATACGAAAGGTTACAAAATAGTGACTTTCTAGTACTATAAATCCTTATTTATTAGCTAGCATTCTTCTATAAAGAAGAGCTTTACTGATCTGTCCCTCTCCCTTTTTTTAGTATCACCACAGACTCATTTTACTCCACGTGCTATATAATCCATTATTATCATGGTTCTCTCATATACTCAAGTTGTCCCAAATTTGCCTAGTGGGAGCTTCTTAAGCTAGCTTCTGTATCCTTTTGACATATTTCCACTAATCTTTGAATACTTCCCTGCTTTTTTGTCACAAAATGTACTAGGCTCACCTTGTACTTTCACTCCCTAAACCTGCAATCAGCCAATTCTCCAAAGAGTCCTGATACTTTGTAGTGGGGATTGGTACTTAGAAATTAAGATCTAGAGGTAGAAGTATTAATTGCTATTATTATTTCTAGTCCCTTTTAATGGAAAGGGTATTATTTCTGGTCCCTTTTAATGGAAAGAGCTAGGGAATATACTTTTTTTTTGAAATAATGAATTTATATCGAGTCCCCCAATTCAACTCCAACATTTGTAGGGTTTTTCCTTACCTTTCCCATTTCATATTTATAATCTCCCTTCTCTAATCAGTGATGTTGTTTGGAATCAGGGTTCCAACAGAGGATTATGCTCAGAAGCTACTTGAATTATTTTGCATATGTACGGTTCTTATAACTTTGGTATACAGATGGATTCACGTTTTTGTTTGTATTTTTTCCCTCCTTGTTGACTTAATTTTTGAATGTGTAAAATATGTGCATTGCTCAAAAGTCAACACTATATGAAAAGTATACACCTTTTAGCACCTTATTGAGCAAACAAAACTGCTATATGACAAGATGTTTTCATACACACGAAGTCACTAATTCTCTATTTTTAGTTTGTAACTTGAACCCAGGTCTATGAAGTAAAGATATAATTTCCCCATGTTTCTATGCCATTTCTCTCACATCTTAACACAAAGAACATTGAGAGAGTCTTGACTTCCATCCTTTAATGATGAGAACGTGAATGCATCAAAACAGAACATCTCAAAACAGTACAGGAGGGTTTCCCTGGTGGCTCAGTGGTTGAGAATCTGCCTGCCAATGCAGGGGACACGGGTTCGAGCCCTGGTCTGGGAAGATCTCACATGCCGCAGAACAACTAGGCCCGTGAGCCACAACTACTGAGCCTGCGCGTCTGGAGCCTGTGCTCCGCAACAAGAGAGGCCGCAATAGTGAGAGGCCTGCGCACCGCGATGAAGAGTAGCCCCCGCTTGCCGCAATTAGAGAAAGCCCTCGCACAGAAACAAAGACCCAACACAGCCAAAAATAAATAAATTAATAAATTGCCAATTTGATACATGAAAAATTATATATATTAAAAAAAATTTAAAAATTAAAAAAAAAAAACCAGTACAGGATACTAACATGTGGGTCCTCTTGGTGATTTTTACACAGCATCAAAAGCACTTCAAGGGTTTCCCTGGTGGCGCAGTGGTTAAGAATCCGCCTGCCAGTGCAGAGGACACAGGTTCAAGCCCTGGTCCGGGAAGGTCCCACATGCCGCGGAGCAACTAAGCCCATGAGCCACAACTACTGAGCCTGTGCTCTGGAGCACGTGCTCCGCAACAAGAGAAGCCACCACAATGAAGAGTAGCCCCCACTCGCCGCAACTAGAGAAAGCCCACCTGCAGCAACAAAGACCCAACACAGCCAAAAATAATAAAAATAAAATAAATAAATTAAAAAAAAAAAAAGCACTTCAAGACCTGACTTTTATAAATGCTCAGGTCTTTGATACAGTAGAAAGACCCAGTGGGCCATAGACAGACTGCTGCATCTGAGAAAGTGGCTGGTCCTGCGGAGTGAAGTGAACTGGTAAGTTTACCTGGTGACAATCCCATTTTCTGCAAGAATGAAGGCTGCCGAAGGATTGGCAGCTCTGATGAGGCTCTGCAACTGAATCAGGAGAGGGTGCCTCTGCTCTGTGGTGTGACTGGTGAACACCACATTACTCACCAGGCCTGGGGAACAAAACCAAAAACAGTTCAGCCTTTATGAGTCCTGACTGGGGCTGAGGGTTTGCACAAATGTGAGCCCTTGCTCCCTCCCCTGATCATCCCTTCTAGCAGCCTCCTCATGTAGACACCCGCCACCCAACACTGATATACATAGCCATCATTCTGCTCCTCTTTCTGCCACTGCAACCTCTTGGAGTGAATGGCCTCAACTCTGTAGCTGCCTCACCTCCTAACCTCCTCTGTCTTCTTAATTCCGCTTTGATACCTGGAGCTTTTTCATCTAAGGGCCCTTTCTATATCCCATGTACTTAACCTCATCAGGAACTGGTGCCAGTGACTTTTCACCAGTTCAGAACACAGACATGTACCAAGCACAAACCGTATGTCAGGTGCTAACCATTCTCAAAGAGTGCACAGTCAAGAAGTCTCACCCGTGGACCCACAGTTCCAAGGTAAGTGCTAACAAAGATATTCATAGAGTGACACAGTAAGGAAGGGTGGCGCATGTAAAGAGAGGTTGTGGAGTGGGCCACAATCACTCTCAACCTTTCTGTGAAAATATAGAAGTAAAATCCACAGCACTACAGATAATTTTGAAATCAGAGAATTTGCCACATCCCATCATGCCAACACAATTGTAATACCTCTTCCATACTTATTTTTACATGGCTAGGATCACAGCATATACACCATTTCTGCTATAATGTCATTTGCATTTGTGTTATTCAACCGTTTTTATTCACTTAATATTGTGAAAATTTCAAACATATACAAAAGTAGAAAAAAATAGTATAATGAACGCCCACGAGCCCATCACTTGGCTTCAAGAAAGATTAACATTTGGCTAACTATTTCTTCTATACCATACCCCAACCTTTTCTCCTTTCCTCTCCTTCCCCACTGGATGATTCTGAAGCCAATAATAGACATCCTATTATTTCATCCAAAAATATTTCAGTATGTATTATCATAAGGACTCTTTAAAAAAATGAATGATTAACAATAAATTCTTTAATATAAAATATCTAGCCCACATTCAAACTTTTCTGTCTCAAGAATATTTTCTTAATTTTTTGGAAACAGGAACCAAACAAAGCCCATACATTATATTTCACTGATGCATCTCATAATTCTCTTTCAATCTATAGTTTTCTTCTTACTTCTTTGTGATTTATTTGTTGAAAAACTGCATCTTGTATATTTCTCTCAGTCTAGATTTTGCTGATTGCATCTCCATAGTGTTGCTTAACATGCTAGATATACCTGGTTTATAGATTCAATCTTTTTTATTATAATCTAGTTTTTAAAAAGTTCTTGTTCTTTTTCTAACTTCTTAAGTTGAATGCTTAATTCATTATTTAAAAAAGCCACAATGAGATAGCATTTCATACCTGTTAGAATGGCTATTCTCAAAAAGACAAGAAATAAGTAGTGTTGGTGAGGATGTGGAAAAAAGGGAAACTTGTACACTGTTGCTGGGAATGCCAATTCTATAGTGGTACAGACACTATGGAAAACAGGATGGAGATTCCTAAAAAAATTAAAAGTACCATATGATCCAACAATTCCACTTCTGGAATATACCAGAAGGAACTGAAATCACTATCTTGAAGAGCTATCTGCACACCCATGTTCATTGCAGTATTATTCACAATAGCAAGATATGGAAACCTAAGTGTCCATTAGTGGATGAATGGATAAAGGAGATATAAGATAGATATATCTTATATATATCTATCTTATATATGATAATGATATATATATATAAATGTTACTCAGCCATAAAGAGAATGAAATCTTGCCATCTTGCCATGGATGGACCGCAAGGGCATTATGCTAAATGAAATAAGTCAGAGAGAGAAATACCATATGATCTCATTAATATGCAGAATCTAAAAACAAAAACAAAAACCAAGCCCATAGATACAGAGAACAAACTGGTGGTTGCCAGAAGCAGGGGGCAGGGGGTGAGAAAAATGGGAGGAGAGAGTCAAAAGGTACAAACTTCCAGTTATAAAATAAATAAGTCATGGAGATGTAATGTACAGCATGGTAACTATAGTTAATAATACTGTATTGAATAACTAAAAGCTGCTAAGAGAGTAGATCTTAAAAGTTCTCATCATAAGAAAAAATTGTTTTGTAACTAGGTAAGGCAATGCATGTTAACTAGACTTATTGTGATTATCATTTTGCAATGTATACAAACATCAAATCATTCTGTTGTACACTTGAAACTAATACAATGTTATATGTCAATTATATCTCAATAAAAAGAAAAATTATTTCTTGTTTAGTAACATAGTAACTTAAAGGTATATGCTTTCTTTTGAATTATTTGGTTACAGAAATATTCATGACAGGTTGTAGATGGTGTCCTTTATCATTAAAAATTGCCCTTTTATTTATTTACTTATTAGCCGTGCTGTGCGGCATGTGGGATCTTAGTTCCCCGACCAGGGATTGAACCCGTGCACCTTGCAGTGGAAGCACGGAGTCTTAACCGCTGGACCACCAGGAAAGTCCCAAAACTGCCCTTTTTAGACTCTTCAATATTTTGCCTGGTATTCAACCCTGCTGTTATTAATATCAACCTCATTTCTTTTTGTTTGCATTCGTCTGTTATATCTTGTCCATTCTTTCATCACCATCCTTACTTAGTTTTAGATGCTTCTCTTGTACAGAACATCATATAATTAGATTCTACTTTTTGGTTTAATCTGAGATACTTTTCCTTTTAATAGGTGTTTATTCCATTTATATTTACTGACACTTTGTTTCTGTTACCTTGTTTATGTGGAATTCTATTTAAAAAAAATTTTTTTTAACTTTTAGCAATATGATTTCTGCATTGTTTTCTGCTTTCCTTCTGATAAGTGGTGGGCTTATAGTCTGTTTTATGTTCTTATGATAGCTATCCTTATGTCACCTTTAGACAATGTCTTTTGACTTTTCCACATGACAGACAAGGAAGTTCATATACCCTTAAATTTGCCCCGCTTCTCCACTATCACGTTCTGGTTGGCTACATTAATAATTTTATAGTTCCTCTAGTGGATACTTTTTTTAAGTTTTACTGTTCTTATAAATTTATTTATTTATTTATTTATTTATGGCTGTGTTGGGTCTTCGTTGCTGCGTGCGGGCATTCTTTAGTTGTGGCGAGCGGGGGCTACTCTTCATTGCGGTGTGCGGGCTTCTCACTGCGGTGGCTTCTCTGGTTGTGGAGCACAGGCTCTAGGAGCGTGGGCTTCAGCAGTTGTGGCTCGTGGGCTCTAGAGCGCAGGCTCAGTAGTTGTGGCACCTGGGCTTAGCTGCTCCGCGGCACGTGGGATCTTCCCAGACCAGGGCTCAAACCTGTGTCCCCTGACTTGGCAGTTGGATTCCTAACCACCATGCCACCAGGGAAGCCCGAGTGGATAATTTTGTATCTTTAAAGAGTACAACTAACTCTTTACAAATTGACTTAACAGCTTTAAAATTTACTGATCTCCCACTTGAGAAGATGTAGAGGTAATCTCTCTCTCGTTGCCTCCTAATTTTTTATTAAATATAATTTCATTTATAGGGTTTTGAGATTTTCAACATTTAAATTCTATCTTGTAATAGCATTCTCATAGGTGTTATAATTAATTCTATACCTAAGAATACTCAATGCTCATCATCAATCTTTTTACTAATAGAGACTAGTTTTTTGTTTGTTTGTTTGTTTTTGTGGTACGTGGCCTCTCACTGTTGTGGCCTCTCCCATTCAGGAACACAGGCTCTGGATGTGCAGGCTCAGCGGCCATGGCTCACGGGCCCAGCCGCTCCGCGGCATGTGGGATCTTCCCGGACCAGGGCACGAACCCGCAACCCCTGCATCATCAGGCAGACTCTCAATCACTGCGCCACCAGGGAAGCCCGAGACTAGTTTTGTAAACGATTAGTTCATAAGTGAATGTCTCTAAATTATGAGACTTCAGCTTTCCTAAGTAACCTTGTAATTGTAGGATCCTGAATAATGAATATTCAGTACAGAGGACTCTTACTGTTCACTTCGGTCAAGTGTTTTGTTTTTTAAAAAATTAGCTGTACTTAGTTTTTCAGGGCAAAACTCATAATGTACAGAAGAGTTCACAGACAAAGTAAATTCCCTTCCTACCCAGCAACCTACTTCTTTCCCTGGAGGCAACCATATTTATCAGAGTTTTCTTCCAGATATGTGCTGAGTATTTACAAGTAAATGTGTATGTATACATTTTTCCCACAAACAGTGGCATACTATACCATTCTGTACCTTGTTTTTTCACTTAAGCCTTTTAAAAAATTTTTTTGGTAAAGCTTACTTCTTCCTTACAATCTTCTCTAATACCGTTATCATCCCAATCCTCCCCTCATGCCACCTTGCTGTCTCCCTTTCTCTGAACTACGAGAGCTCCTTTGAATAACATGGGCAGTGCTTAAAATATAAGGCTTATATTTTTATTTATCTTCTTCATATATGTAAAAAGATAGCATAAGGTAAAGATTAAAGCGTGGGTTTTGGAGCCAAGCAAACCTGAGTCTGAATTTTCGGTTCCACTAATTATTCATGGGTGACATTAGGCAAATTGCTCAACTTTCTCTCTGAGCCCAAATTTCCCCTTCTGTCAGATGGGAACACATACCTCCAGGTTATCTGTGAAATGGTTTATCACAGGCTACAGAGAGTAAGAACTCATTAAATGCAACCTGACACTACTACCACCACCATCTCATCATTTGGGAATGGGACCCCTACATGTACACCAAGGAGCCTGGACCGATTCCTCAGACTGACAGAGGTGGCTGTGGCACGCCTTAGCCACAGCGACAAGCAGGAAGGTAAGTCACATGACTCTCACCAGCCTAGGCTGCTGAGCCCATGGTTTAGATGAGTGGCTATCACTGGTTTGAAGGCAACTTCCAGGACCCCTGGTCCCTGCCTCTGGTCTGAGGCAGAAGTTAGTATACTTCCTTCCTCTCACCAATCATATTTATAA